GGGGGGAGGCAGACCCGGACCCCTTCGGTGGAAGGGAAGAGGCACGGGCAGAGAGCCCTGGAGGGAAGAGGCAAAAGCCGGATTGTCTTCTTTCAGACACGGGGAGCATTAATCCGAAATTAACCCGCACAGAAAGTGGACGCATCCCGCAAAAGCAGGATTGCTCGTTCACACATTGGACGTTATCACACGGGGGCAAATCTGCTGGTTAATCCGCACAAATCCCAAACAGAAACTGGATTTGTGCCTTGCATTTTCACACAACACATCACACAGAAAGTGGACAGAAAGTGGTGTTATCCGAGATCTTTGGAAATTCGGTTGTTTGGAGGAAATGCAAATGTGCAATTAAGGTAATTTCGAATTTACCGTAATGTGATCGCCAAATGCGCATTTGGGAGCATTTCCCTGCTTTTCCCATGGTTCCAGCGAGCATTCCTCTATCTGCGCATGTGCAAGAAGATCATTTCTAGTACATTTACGGGCTTTTCTCACTTGTGCGTGAATGTTAAATGCGCTTACTGTAATTTCGCAATTAAGGTAATTACGTGTGAAAGCCATTTGCGGAATCAAGGTTTATTTTCGGTTTATTTTCAGAATGCCTCATTTCCACTTTATATCGCTTTCTGGCCCACGTGTGATAATGTCCATTGAGCATTAATCTGAAATTAACGCGCAAAGAAAGCGGATGAATCCTGCCAATGCAGGATCCTGCTTTTTTGGGATTCATCCACTTTGTGTGTGTGTTAATTTCAGATTAACGCTCAACATCTGAAACAGTCATCCTGTGTTTGTGGGATTTGTCCACTTTCTGTGCTTGTTAATTTCGGATTAATGCTCAGTGTGTCTGAAAGAGCAATCCTGATTTTGTGGGATTTGTCCACTTTCTGTGTGCGTCGATTTCAGATTAATGCTGAACGTGTCTGAAAAACTAATCCTGCTTTTGTGGGATGCGTCCACTTTCTGTGTGTGTTAATTTCAGATTAATGCTCAACATCTGAAACAGTGGAGTTTATCACACGGGGGAAATCCTGTGCAGAAACAGGGTTTTAAATTGAAAAAACCTGCAAAAGCGGGCAGATTTTCAGACGACGTCGCTGTTAAAATGGGGTTAACCTGAATGGAAAGTAGTCAGAAACTGTTTCATTTTACTTTAAGGATTTTGCGAAAGTAAAAAGAAGCAGTTTCTGACTACTTTCCGTTTGGGTTAACCCCATTTTAACAGGAATGTGTGTGAAAATCTGCCTGCTTTTGCGGGTTTCCCCCACCTTTTAAATCCCATTTCTGCACGGGATTTCCCCCGTGTGATAAACTTCCGTGTTGAGCATTAATCCAAGATTAATGCACACAGAAAGTGGACGAATCTTGCAAATGCAGGATCATTTTTTTCACATGTATCATTCATGTGAAATTAACATGCATAGGAAGTGGATGAATCCCACAAAAGCGGGATCGTTTTTTCAGGCACATTGAACATTAATCTGAAATTAACTCGTAAAGAAAGTGGACAAATCCCGTAAAAGTGGGATCGTTTTTGGACACACTGAGTGAGCATTAATCTGAAATTAGCGCACACAGAAAGTGGATGAATCCTGCAAAAGAGGGACCGTTTTTTCAGACGCATTGAGCATTATTCTGAAATTCACATGCACAGAAAGTGGACGAATCCCACAAAAGCGGGATCGTTTTTTCAGATGCATTGAGCATTAATCTGAAATTAACATGCACAGAAAGTGGACAAATCCTGCAAAAGTGGGATTGTTTTCAGATGCA